TCATTTGCCCTACTGTTTGCCATTGGTGAACTGGAAGTCTGTCCTTGTGTCTTGCTTAAGTGTTTTCTCATTTTAATTTTTGTTGTCGGACTGTCCTTGGTTTAATCTCTGGATTATCACCCAAATCTTCCTGATATAGCTGCTCCCTAGCTTCTGTGTCTCTAACGACTCACAGACATTCTCATCTTCATAACATCAGAGAAAACAGCTCATCAAATCAACTGCAATGCTTTACCCCAACTGATACCATCAGCAACACATTAAGATCAAGCACAACTTGGACACTGACCACCGGTGGTAGTCACTAGTCTATCACCCTTAAATCATTTGAATTAAGTTGAAATCAAGAAGCAGTCCAGAACATGTCTGCAGTGAACACAATTTCAATATAGTGTATTTACCATTTAATGGCTCAGACAGAGCGAGGATGCAAGACCCCTGATCTCAGTTAGCTGATGGCTGAACCCCATGATGCTGACTGACCTCAGGCTGCAAGGCCCAGATTGAGTCCCAACTTTCTGAATGGTTGATTCCACAACGTTCTATTACAGGTTTCCCACGTCCTTTCTTTAAAGATGTTCAAAGTTGGGAACTCAGAAAAATACACTTGATGACCATCTCTTCCTCTGCAGAGTGGGTTCAAAGACTGGCACAGTCAGGAGGTCTGAGAGTGTGGGGGGGGATATTAGGGGGTTCAGGAGCGCCTGGGTGGTTACCTTCCCAGTGCTTCAGCGATGGCGGCTGGGTCTGGAGCAGGCGTGGCTCCTTCCCGCGGTGGATGGGGCCCAGGCTACCTTCTTGGTGCTTGAGTGATGGCGGCTGGGTCGGGAGCAGGTGTGGCTCTCACAAATAAATCTTTTAACTCTATTTCATCTGAGGCCTGAGAAGCAGGGACTGAGCTGGAGTTGTTTGGTGAATTTAATGTCCAGCTAGGATTTAAACCCAGATCAGTGTGCAAGGCACACAAGGAAGGGTCTTCACCACAGCTTAGAGTGAGATTTGCCAGCTTTAGCAAATAAAAATATAGGCCACTCAGTTAAATATGACTTCTAGGAGTTGGGGAGTGTTGCTCAGGGTGAGAACTTGCATGAGGCCATGGGTTTGATTACCAATACTATGAAAATAGTCTAGAGAAAAATGAATGATTTTTTATTATAAGTATGTCCCAAATTTTGTTTCTTTGAAACTCAAATTCAATTGTCTTTTTCCCTGCTACTAGAGATCTGCTACAGGGTCTTTGCACTGAACTACACTGCCAACCCTTTTTATTTTTGGGTCTAAGCTGCTAAATTGTCCAAGTTGGGCTCAAACTTTAGATCCTCCTGCCCCAGCCTCCCAGAATGCTGGGATTACAGGAGTGTGCCACTACACTCTGCTGAATGCTTTATAACTCTGAGCCCTGATTCCCACTCTTGTGGCTCCTTTAGCAACCTCTTCTCTTTCCACAGTTGACCTTTCTCTCCTCCTTACCCCTTGTCTCTCTCTTTTTCAGAGAGGGAGCTCTGAGCTACATCTCCAGCCCTCTTAATTTTTAAAAATTTGAAACTGGGTCTCAGGAAATTGCCCAAGATGCCTCCCGATTAGCTGGTGTGACAGGCATGGGACAGCATGTCCAGCGCCCCCAGGTGGCCTTCTGCCCCCTCAGCCTCCGTGTTTTTGGCACAGTGGTCAGGCTCTTCCCCGCCAGCTTATCATGACAGCTCTCTGCAGACCCCTGCCTGGCCACCAACACCCATCTCTGGGACCAGAGTTGCTGCTTTGGCAGCCCCAGTGTCTCGGTTTTCATTTCCTTCCCATCTGGTACTTCTCATTTCCTCTCCTGTCCCCCAGAATCCTGACTCTTAAGTCAGATTCCCAGGTCTGAGCCCAGATTCATCTGCGCCCCTACCTGTTGGATGCTCAGGGCCCCAGGTGGAAGACTTCCCTCTTTGATTAGAACCTTTGGTGGCTCCTTGACCCTTAGGATAAAATCAGAAACAAAGCCTCTAAGGTAACCTTGTTGACTTCAGTTCTCTTTAAGACACTCTCTGTTCCCAGAATAGACTTTTTTCACAGAACCATTGGGCTTCAAGGAGCTTCAAATGTCATTGATCTCTTTCCCTGGCTCATTTTAGAGGACTCAGTTCCAGGTCACCCCTTCTGGAGGGCACTTATCCCTTCTAGACTGGATTATTCCTTTTGTGTGTGTGTGTGTGTGTGTGTGTGTGTGAGAGAGAGAGAGAGAGAGAGAGAGAGAGAGAGAGAGACAGGGTTTCTCTATGTAGTTCAAACTCATGATGATCCTCCTGCCTCAGCCTCCCAAGTGCTGGGACTACAGGTATATAACACCATGCCTGGTTGAGACTGGGTTATTCCTTATCACTAAGTTACCTTCTGCTTGCCTGGAACTGTCTTCTCCACCTCTTGGTTCCCAGCATCCAGTGTAGTAAATGTGCCTCAAGGCCTGATCCCGACATGGATTCCAGTTCCCTCTCACAAACCTGACACCAGCCCAATCTAACTCTGCCCCAGCTCTGACCAAACTTGAGACCCCCCAGCTCCCTTTTGACCTTACCTTATCCTTGACCCTAACAGCACACCTAAGACAGGACTAGGCAAGTGTCCCCTCTTACAGCAGTACGTCCTCCTCAAAGGAAGGGACACAGCATCCTGAGCCTCCTTAAGATCTGCAGAGGGAGTGAGAGACAGAACCTCAGACTTCTGGGGCTCAGGGGAAGTTCATTCCTAAAGGAGGGCTTCTGACTAGGAAGCCTGGCCCTGTAGCCTATCCCCACCTCTTCCTGCAGGGACCTATAGGGAAATTGGGATGGGGTGTATCGGGATTGGCAGTGGGGCCGTGCAGGTTACAGACCTGGCCTGATCTCTGGCACCCTCTAGAGGACAGTTTCATTCCCAAATTGGAGTGTTGGGCCAGCAAATCCTATACCCTCTCCTACGAAAGGATTGTTGGCCCCAGAAGAGCCCTGGACTACTGCCCACTACCCACCACTCCACTGGCAGGTGTCCTCACAGTGTGTATGGCAGGATTTCACCAGCTCAAATCCCCAATTGCCTGCCCTGTCCTTCCAGGCCTAGGCAGGCCCCACTGCTAGTCTAGGCTCCCCCCGACCCACCTCAGTGACTGAGTTCCCACAGTCCTAAGTGGGAGCCTCCTACTGGCCCAGCTTTGATTTCTATGTGGAGGCCTTGCCTTTCCCAAGGGAGGTGTTTTCCTCAGGACAGGGTCTAGGTTTCCCCCTCCACTCTTGGACTGGGATTTTCCGGCAAATATGGCTTCTGTATCCCCTGTACTCTCAGGCTAGGGGCCCTGGGAGGACAGGCTGAGTCTCTCCTTCCCTAAGGACTGACCCAGGATCTCCTCCTCCAACCCTCCACTTGGCTGTTGATTCTGACATTTCTATCTCCAGTCCCAGTTCGGAATAGCTCTTCTTGTAGCTGGGGCTCAGGAGGCCTTGTAGACTTCCATGGGTCTGGACACCTGGAGCAGTTACCTCAGGCGCTGGCCCCAGAGACAGGCCCAACCCTTGGCTTGGAGGACTGAGACCTAGAGGGCCCTCCAGAAATTCTACTTCTTCCCTCATGAGGGCTGCCTCAGATCTCTGGCTCCATGGTGCTACTGGCCGAAGGAGGGATGCTATTTTGAGCAGTGTGTCTGGACATGGCTCAAGGGAGACCGGCCAAACCCCTGCCCTACTGACTTCACCCCTGGAAGAGCAGGAGAAGCACTCGGCCTCCCCTCCCCCACTGGGGAGGGCTGAGAAGAGGCGGGCTCTAGGGTGGGGACACAGGCAACAGAACCCCATCTGGCACAGCAGCTTGAGACAGGGACTGTCATGGAGGAACAAGATCAAGACCTGCTTTAATTGTGGAGCCCCCAGGGCAGGGTCTGAGAAATATAAAGGCATTCGGCAGAGTGAGTGGGGCTCCGGGCAGACTGGGACAGGGTGGCCTCCTCAGGTTACAAGCCAAGAAGAGTGATGCCCTTGGGACCATCAGGGAGGAGGCAGGACTGTTTGGGAGAGAGCGTCAGCTGGAGTTAAAGGTTTGGCTTCCTGTTCTCGTCGTTGTGTGACATGGGCACACCGCACTCTCTGGGCTTGAGTCTCCTTACCTGTGCGTTGCTGCTAAGAGGACCAGAATGCCTGGGTGGAGCAGAGATTAGGAGAATGTACTGAAAGGGCTCTCAGCACAGCACGGGAGCATTGCCAATTAGTTGAAGAAATCATTAATTGGCAAAGTGCAGCTCTGCCAGTGGTTCTCAGCCCATGGTGTTACAGCTCTGGGACTGCCTGTCTAGAGCCCTCGGCCCTTAATATTACAGCTCTAGAGCTCTAAGCCACCCCTAGCGCTAAGACTAACTCTGGGCAGCTATCTGGAGATTTACAAGGCTGGTCCCTGCCGCTGTGCGGTGCTGGGACTCTAGTGTGCCGCAGATTAGCGCAGGTTAACACCGCCACTTACTGCCTCTGCCAGATGCTGCTGGTCTCTGTCGCTGATCGCAGATCTTCACCGATTTCTGCCCCAGGTCTCTGGAACTCTTGACTAGTAGCCTTTAGTGTCTACGGCTCTTTCTAAAGCCACTCGCTTCACCCATACTACTTGTCATAAGAATCCAGCGTAGATTTACAGAATCTTTCAAGCTGCACTATCGGACAAATAAATTAGAGCAGATTTACAGAACACTAGAGTGGGGCTTTATTAGACAAGGCCTCTGCTGAAGCAGAGAAGTGGTGGGGGAAGGGTACAATTACCAGGGCAAGAGATGAAGCCTTCCCAGACCAACTGAAGGCAAGGGATGAAGGAGGCTTGTATAGCAGCAGGAGGCCTGTGATTGGCCCAAAGTCGAGCCTACTGATTCAAGCCTGCTGGTTGGTCCAAATTCAATTCCGCTGTTTGGTTCAAATGCATGCTGCTGCAGTCAGGGCAGATATCAACAGTGGGTGCGAGGTACAGGGCAGTCACAGCTGTACTGGCCACAGTTGGGGAAACCAACTACTTGATTGACAGCTGCTGAATCTCCTCGAAAATGGCGGGCTATAACCAGGGCTACCCCTGCTTTCCAGGAATATTCAGGAGGCCTAACGGTGTTAACCGCACCTTATTGGGGTCTGGGGATCTCGGGGTTGTTAACAATCGGCCCAGATCTTCCCCTGATATCTGCCTGTCTGGGACGGTTTCCCAACTCCTTCAGAGAGGGGGCAGCAGTGTGTGGATGGTGGGCAAAGGAGAGGGACACTGGGCGCAAGCAGAGCCACGGCTCCTGTCAGCGTGGCCTAGAAAGTGGCTTCTTGGTAACCTTGGGTGTAGGAGGACAGTGTTGCCCCAGTCCACCCTCAGGGGACCCAGTGAGAGTGAAGGGAAGCAAGGGGAACGGGTGGTGTTGCCACTGTCAGTTGAGCCTGCCCCTTCCTGCTGTCAGAGTTAAAGGCAAGCCTCAGGCTGTTTCTCCTGTCTCAGGGGTGGGAGGAGGACAGAGCTGACAACCAGCCCTCCTGGATCAAGGCAGAAGAGAGGCAGGTCAGAGATGGGTGGCTGCAGGTTTGCTGATTCTTTTCTCCCTCTGGGGGACTGGAGCTGGGGCTGGGGCTGGGGCTGGAGGGTATCTGTGATCGGGGGTTGGGGGTGTGCATTTGTGCTGCGGTTAGAGGGACTTGGGCTAGAGGACTCATAAGGTGGGGAAAACTGAAGGGGTATTTTCATGCTGTGAGTTTGTGAGAAAAATAGGAATACAAGGGGAGGTTTTAGGATGTGAGAGGGAAAAGTGCTCTAAGGAGGGGGCACGGGCTAAACGAATTTGCAGGACCTTATTGTGTTTGTGTGTATGGGGGGTCATAGGGAAAGGCTCTGGAAAATCAGTTTAAGTCAGCAGTGAGAAGAATTGAGGTTGGACTAAAGCAGTGGTGGTGAACCTATGGCACGTGTGCCACAGAGTGAACACAGAGCCCTCTGTCTGCAGGCAAGCCAAGTCACTGCAGCATCTCCCCAGCATCTGAGTATTCAGGCTTAATTGCAGTGTGGCACTTAGTGATAAAGAAGTGGGTGTTGGGTTGCAGTTTGGGCATTCGTCAATGCATTCTACATGGATGTGAGAGGCTGGAGCCACTGAGGGGAGGCTGTAGGCATTGCCTTGTCCAAACCTGGGTGGGATGCAGGGTTGGGAAGGTCAAGAGAACCTCTGAAGGTCCTGATCCAGAAGTCAAGGGTCCTGAGGCCAGCAAGGTGGCGGGGTGGGACTTCCGGGCCTCTCCCTATTGGCTGAAACACACTCACCCCTGCTCCTCCCTCCCATGCAGTTTGGCTGGGTTGAGGGAGGGGCACTAACAGGAGCTGCTGGTGCCTTCTGGGGAGTGAGGTCTCATGGGAATATGGGACAAGTTCTACGTTCCCCAGACCTAGTGACCTCTCTTTGGCTTCACAGCATCCAAAAGTCTGAAAGACAAAATATGGCTCAAGAAGGCAGGCAGAAGCGGTAAGTGCCCCATCCCTTCCCCTCATGTCAGTCCCATCTTCAGGTCAGCCATCTCAGTGCCTTCCCTGCCCTGCCCTCAGTCTCCCTCATGGCAGCTGCTCCCCTGGTTCCCCTCTTTTCTCCTTGCCTGGTGGCCCACAGGGTTCCAGGAGAAGGGCCTCTCCCACTAGTCTCTCCTGTCCCCATAGTGCAGCCAATCATGAGGCAGGGATGGGGCCCGGGGTGAGGGCAGTGGGATCTGAATGTTCCTGGGTAGGTGGCACTCAGCTGGACTGAACTCACCATCACCTGGCCTCTCAAGCTCTGCTCTCTTTGGCGTGAAACAGGAGCCAAAGTCATTGCACTGGCAAAAGCCCTCACTACATAGGTTGCTTTACCTCCCTGCCTACCCCTCCCCGAGCTTCACTTTCCTTACTCCAGCCATGCCACTTCCTCTTCCTTTGTTTTGTTTTGTTTTTCCTGGTACAGAGGATGATCCTAGGACTTTCACACTGAGCTATATCCCCAGTTGTTTTTCCCTTTTTCCTTCCTTCCCTCCTTTATTATTTCCTTCCTTAGTTTCTCCCTTTCTCTCTCCCTCCCTCCTTCTCTCTCTCTCTCTCTCTCTCTCTCTCTCTCTGTTTCTTTGTTTCTTTCCTTTCTTCCTGATACTGGGCATTGAACCTAGTGCCTTTGCACTGGGCCACATCCTTAGTTCCCTTTTAAATTTTTTATTTTATTTTGAGACAGATTCTCACTAAGTTGTTAAGTGCTCAGGCTAGGCTTGAACTTGTGATCCTCCTGCCTCAGCCTTCCCAGAGTGCTAGGATTACAGGCTTGCACCGCCACCATGCCTAGTCAGCTTCCTTTGCTTTCCGCAGGCTGGCTCAGAGTCCTGGGACTGTGCCTTCTGCCTGCGGTGCTCTTCCCACTGTCACTGCATGGCCTGCTCCTGCATGTCCTTGGTGTGCTTTCCAGTGTCGCCACCTCAGTGAGGCTGACCCTCACTACCCTCCTTGAAATCAGCCCCTCACACTCCCAGTTCCCCTTCCCATGCCCTACCTTTCCCACTTCACCTTCTAACACACATAGCACTTGCTCACTCCATTCCATTGCCATCACTCCCATGTGTGAAGGGATGTGCGCTTGTTTCTGTAGTCTTGTGAGGACAGGGCAGCTGGCTCCCTGTCTGTACTGATTGCTGTCTTCAGCCCATGTCTCCTTCCTGGGCTTTAGCCTCTGCTTCCAAATACCCACTGGTGCCCTAGAGACAGCCCAGGTCCCTGTTGAAAGCTACCTCCTCCACTGTCCCCAGGCCTACTCCTCTTCCTGTGGGCTCTGCTTAGACAAGGGTCACCTTTCCTCAGTTGCCCAAGCCAGAAGTTAAAGCCATGTCCTTTTTTGTTTTTGTTTTTTCCTAGCTAGAGATTGAACCCAGTGCTTTTGCCCTGAGCTACACCTCACCCTCAGCCCTATTTTTTCTACTACCCTTTTGTACGTTTCACTTTGGGACCAGGTCTCCCGAAGTTGTTAAGTTGCCAAGGCTGGGCTCAAACTTGCAGTCCTCCCGCCTCACCCTCCCAGACTGTGGGGATTACAGGCACGAGCTGAAAGCTGTGTCCTTGGTGTTTCCTTCTCTGCCTTAGATTTAGTCACCCATATTATAGATTGTGTCTGCCTCCTGCCATTGTTTCTGCCACCACCCTACTTCCTCATGGCCACTGTTTGCCCTCTTCTTTCTCCTAAACTTCAACCCTGTACCTCCCCAGTACAGATGTTGGGGCCTGAAACCCTCTTTTTCACCTATTCATCCAATCATGCAGTTATTGAATAAATATGTACCAAGTGCCAGGCACTACAGGAAACGGTGGGATCCCTCGAGCCTCAAGAGTCAGGTTTCCCATTCTCATTCATCCAGCCTGTCTTTCTTGCACATCTCCCATGCCTGGCACTGGTTAACATGGAGAATAAACCAGGAAGTAAGATCCCACCCCGCTGTTCCCTTCCTCCCTCTGTCTTGCCCATTCATTCACAAACATCTCTTGGTGCATTTTGCTGACTGCTCCTCTTCAGCAGCACTTGGCTCATGTTTCAGGCCTCACCGAGCCCAGCATCAGACTTTGTCACATCCCATGCAGTTTGCAGAGTGCCTCACTGTTGCCAGGTCCTGGCCTATGACCCTCAACCTCTAGAACCTGCAGACAGGCAGACAGACAGACAAACAGCTGAGCTTTACTTTCTAGCCTGCCTTCTCTGCTCTGCTTCTCCTCAGCAGCTCCTCACCACTGCAGGTTGTAATTTTAGTTCTCCAACTGTTCCTTCTGCGAAGTGGCTGCTTGGTGCGCCCTTCCCAGGGGTCCATTTCCTGCTAGAAGGAAGAAGGAGCCTGGCTGGGCCGTTTGCCTCAGTTCTCCGTGTCCCCGTGGCTCCCATTTCCAGGACAGGTGGCTGTCCTGGGCATAAGGAGGTGCTCTCGGCAAGGCTGATGGGTTACCTATTAACTCAGCCTGGAGTTGAAGGGCCGATGGGAGGTGGGTGGACTTGAGTCTCTTTTCTGTCCATGGGCTCGGGCTGCCACTTCAGGTCTACTTGCCGTTCCGAGATGGTCTGCTGGCCTGTGCTGAAGAGGATACAAGTGATACTGCGGAAGGAGATGGTGCGAGAATTCCTGGCTGAGTTCATGAGCACATATGTGATGATGGTGAGTGGGCGAGTGGCATGGGTAGGTGGGATACAACTCATGAACCCCTCCCTGCTGCTGACTCTGTGGATCGTATTGTTCTTTCCCTGCCCGAGCTGGGAGCCTCAGAAATAAGCAGAGGAATGTAAGGAGAGAAGCCTCTCTCATTATCTCTTTTTTTGGAAGTTTTGGGATTGAACCCAGGGTCTTCACACTGAGTTACATTCCCAGCCATCTTTTTTTTTTTTTTTTTTTTTTTTTTTTTTACTCGGGTGCTTTTTAAGACTCAGCATG